TTTTTTTGCAAGGATATAAAATTTAAATAATATATGCCATTCGATTTAGCATAAAAAAAGCTACAAACATATGCATAGACTTTTTTTTTACTTTTACTTTATCTTTTAAAAAATTATTTTTCTTCAAATATTCGTCATATAGGATAACAGACTGTTAGAATTGTGTCGATTTTATTATCATACCTGACGACCATCGTATAGATAAGTAAGATAAAAGTTTTCAAAATACATTTTCATGTACAATTTGATGAGCTCTATCGAACCATATAAAAATCGTTGAAAAAAAAGTTTTTGCTCAAGTTTTGAACTACGCCCACCTTACAATACGATTAACGTCGGTGGACGATAAACTTGCTAAGATTTTTTCAACGGCATCAACATCATCAATACGACGTGCTCAATAAAAGTCGCTTGTCTTCTTTTCAGCCATCACTCACCATATAGCAAAAAAAACGATGAAGCGAAAATAAAAAGCTTTTATGTTGCTTCGATGCATGTTTATATTTCATTGTCAACACATCTAGTCGTTTCGTTCGTGGAGCAGCATGTGCTGTTTTTGTTGCATATATTTTTTGATACTTGATGAATTCGAATTACCAATTGACAAGGTACGAGTGTTATTGTAGTTGTTGATGAGCATGAGTACCATCGAGTCGTTCTCAAACGAAGCTCACATCCATACAACCCTCATCCGTGCTCGAAATCATATGAACTTCGTCACAATCACACAAATTTAAGTTTCATTTCCTAAATCCCCATCCATTATCCGCCGTCACCAACAAGTGCCTGATCTCCACTTTTGCATCATATTTTCTTAGCCCTCCGAAAGCCTATTATGAACACCCAGATTCTCACCCACAACCTCAAGTTCGGTTTATTTTGTCATGTTTTCAACATGTTCTCTCCAGAGACTATTTCTACAAAAGGCAACAATATAATTATTCAACGTCTTTAGACTCAACAGAAGCAACGTTTTTTATCTTTTCTTTTTCATAATAGTTTTCAAAATATGACTTGAAAATGAAGCATTGGCAATCAGAAATTTTTGTAACAAAGAACATCGGATATAAAGTGGTTTATCATCTATAAATTATTAACTAATCAAAAGATTTCGTTGATCTAACCAGACAATTTTTTTCATTCTTCTTCCTCTAAATTATTTTTGTGTCGTTATACTTTATTACCTGTGATATCAATTTATGTGAGATATATATTATTGACTGAAGTTAATTTTATTACGTAAACGTAACTGTAATTACATACAGTCAATGTAATACTGATTAACACTCTCTCGTCTCTTTTTACATACAGTAATATAAACTCTATTTTCTTTTTCATCGATTTATTCAGAAATAAGTCGTAGTTTTTCCACAATATGTCTTGTTTTTTTTGTCAAGATTAACATTCGATTTATAGAATTATGCACATAATAAGAACATAAAATATATCCACTCAGTTGTACAAATAATAATCTGTCTTTTATCGATCATGGCTCTTTTTTAACAGCCGTCATACAATATGACTCCGAGATATTATCACAACTCATATATTATTTGGTGAATGGTTAAATAATTTGATTACATATAAAAATATTTTATAATTCAGTTCACAAAAGAAAATGTCATTCTGTCTATGTCGATTAATAAAGCTCAGCACTATTGAGATAACCACCGTTGTTGCTCCCACCAGTAAGTAATACTTCTCCATTTACTAATGTGGATGCTGTGTGAAGTTCTCGTGCAACATTCATGCTTCTTGTAGTTGTCCAAGTGCCTGTGGATGGATGGTACAATTCAGCACTATTGAGAAAACTAGCACCGTTGTATCCGCCAGTAACTAATACTGATCCATGTGATAATGTAGATTCTGTATGATAACATCTTGCGACACTCATGTTTCCTGTAGTTGTCCAAGTCCCTGTTAATGGATTATATAATTCAGCACTATTGAGACAACCACCGTTGCCCGATCCACCAACAACTAATACTTCTCCATTTGCTAATGTGGATGCTGTGTGAACATATCGTGCAATACTCATGTTTCCTGTAGTTGTCCAAGTGCCTGTTGATGGATTGTACAATTCAGCACTGTTAAGATAACCAATACTGTTATCTCCACCAGTAAATAATACTAATCCATTTGCTAATGTGGATGCTGTGTGCCAAGCTCGTGCGAAACTCATGCTTCCTGCGGTTATCCAAGTACCTGTTGATGGATTGTACAATTCAGCACTATCGAGATAACTAGTACCGTTGTGTCCACCAGCAACTAATACTGATCCATTTGCTAATATGGATGCTGTGTGAGCTGCTCGTAGGACATTCATATTTCCTGTAGTTGTCCAAGTGCCTGTTGATGGATTATATAATTCAGCATTATCGAGATCACCAACGGAGTTCTGTCCACCAGTAACTAATACTGATCCATTTGCTAATACGGATGCCGTGTGAATATATCGTACGGTACTCATGTTTCCTGTGGTTGTCCAAGTGCCTGTTAATGGATTGTACAATTCAGCACTATTGAGATAACCACCGTTGCCCGATCCACCAACAACTAATACGGATTCATTTACTAATGTAGATGCTGTGTGCCAATATCGTCCGATACTCATGTTTCCTGTCGTTGTCCATTCTAGATAAGGTGGAAAAGTGAGAAAAAAAATATTGTTCATGAAATGGTCTCGAATCACTCATGTGCATAAGTTGTCTCTCTATTAATGACAAATTAAATGATATCAAACCTTCAATAAACTTCTCTTTGTTTTCATGATTAAGATAAGATTCATTATGAAATGTTAAACTAAATTAATGAGAAATATGTTATAAACGATTTCACTGATATTATTCGAATTCTATCGATGTCTCGAACTGAAAAATTCGGTCTACATTGTTCAACATAGTAGAAACAATATGTGCTTTTTTTACTAAGGTATTTTCAAAGTCGAATTCGAAAAATAAATCTCAAAAGAGATCGTTTGATTCAAAAAGAATTTGGCTCGATGTTTTTTTCTGTCAGTTTGAACCGAACCTATTGGTGATGTATACACAGATGTGTCTAATATCATTGTTAAGTTGTCTCAACTCTCGATAACTTATAATTATTTTTATACTTACCAGGTTGAAAACGTGTTCCACTAATGATATTCATAGTAGTAGCATCGACATCAGTCAACATATTTTCATTTTGATTCAACATATCACCAAATAATTCACAATTAGATGTTGATCGATGAAAAGTTGCTGCTCTGCAATGACTTTGAGTTAAACAGACTATTTGACAATTTCTAATGTTTGACGTAATAAAACTAATGAATGGTAAACACGTTGTATTGACACATTGATATTTAGAATCAGGTGTTAAAGACATTATTATTGATTGTGTATTTTCTCCGACTACTTCTGTAATAATCATAAATAAAAACCATAAACAAACTGTTCTTGAAGCCATCGCCAATCAGACTGTAAGTTGATGAAATGACTTTAGCTCGAAGTAGAAGAGAAAGTGACTGTTGAGCAATTAATTCTATTTTTTTTTTTGTTTCTTTCTCTCATTTTTCTCAATTCATTCCATCATTGCAGTAAAAAAACAATCTTTCTTTTTGTTATTCTTCTGTTTTTGAATGATTACAATTTGCAATTCAATAGATAATCGTATTTTCCTTCATGAATGTGAAAATGATTCAAACAGTTTTTTCTCAATAAGAAACATTCATATAGAAAATATTGCCTTTTTAAAGTAGCTGCTAAATTTGACTTCGAATACAAATGAAAAACAAATTTCTAAACCAAAATTTATAGTTCGAATTCGAAGGCACTTATGTTAGTATAGGAAAAAAAAGGAAAAATAAAAAGTTGACCTAAATTTAATTTATAATTGAGAAACGTAGGCACCGATATTAGTTTAGTAAAAAAAAGGAAAAGAAAAAATTTACCTGAACTATAATTTATAATGTCACACGAAGTCACTTATGTTAGTTTAGGAAAATAGAAGAAAAAAAACGTTTACCTAAACTATAATTTATAATTGAATGACGAAGGCACTTATTTTAATTTAGAAAAAAAGAGCAAAAAAAACGTTTATCTAAATTATATTTTATATTTGAAATACGAAAGCACTTATGCTCGTTTGGATGGTCGGTGTGGGTGAGTCTGAGTATTCCATTTCACCCACACCTTCTACGAGAACTTCAAATTCAAATATTAGATACGATGAATCCAATATTATTAAATTCTATTTTCGATATTATAATCATTCGGAAAGTTTTAATACAAAATTGAGTGCAGTTAAACTATTTCAATGGTATATTCATTATGAAATTTATGATCATAATTCAACATACAAGAAATAAATATCAATTAACTTCAAATATACTTGAATATGAATATGTATTTAGTTTTAACGTAGCAAAAGTAATGACATACAATTCACCATATTATTTAAGAAATGTTGATATGATGTATTAATGGATTACTAATATAAAAAGAATTTAATTTCTTCATAAAATTGTTAGATTTATTCAAGGAATTATAAATTAATAATGCATGAAAAATCAATTTATTATATTCTGTCAAATATCGAAAGATTTAAATATCACTATATTTAAAGAATTTTAGAATATGGAACATTTGTTTATGATACTGGAAATGACAAATAAAAAAAATATTCTAATTTTAGTCTTGTTTTATGATTAAATAATTAACATACATAGATAAAGATTTTTTAAAGTATGAATATTCTTCATCTACTGATGATTAGATATGGAATACAGACATAAATCTAACGTGCTTGAGATTTAACAATAGAAAATTCGATGTTTAAGATCGTGAATTACTAATCATGCTTACTAAAGAGTATATAAAAAAAATTACTATTCTGACTTTTAAATATAATATTAACTGATATATTATCTTTGATTTGACATGTAGTTAAACAAATAACTAATTAATCATTTACTGAATTGTCTTCTAATAAAATCGATGCACTTTTGTTCACATATGCTTTATCTTCCTCTGATTAGCACTATAATAACTATTGAGTAACTCATATATCGATATACTTCATAATAAAAAATTATTCGATTATGTATGACACCTATCGAAAATAATCCTCGCGTATTATCGAGTGAATTCAAATATAGACTATTCATGTCACACGTGAGTTTGTTCTAGACCATTTTTTATCCATCTATTCAAATCTTCTTTTCATATATACAGTATAAAATAACCATGATGGTCAAAATAAAATTTGAATTCTTACCAAATGAAATATTATTTCAATGTTTACAATATCTCAATGCACCAGATCTGTTTCATTCATTTAATCAATTAAATTCTCATTTTTCTACACTTATTCGAAATATTCCATTATATTTAAATTTTTTTCAAATGAAAAAATCCTTATTTCATCATTTTTGTCAAATCATTCTATTAAATTCTGAAATAAAACAAAAAATTCTCTATTTACAATTATCAAATGATGGAACACATGGTCAAATTGAACATTTTCTTTCATTATTTTCATTAAATACATTTTTTAATCTTCGATCATTATCATTAATTGATTTAAACGAAAATAATATTAAACAAATATTATCAATATTACCATTTTTATCTAATTTATATTCTTTTTCTTTTACTGGTACAAATATTGAAACATTAGAAATAATATGAAAATCAAAATTACGAATATTAACAGTACGTTATTTGGAATTTGAATCAACATCAATTAATCAAACAACAATAATAGGAATAACATCATTAACGATAACTGATTCTCAGTTAGATAATTTTAAGTTATTTAAATTATTTGAATATTCAAACATTAGCAAATTCCGAGATGAATAAATACAATGAATTGAACAAAAATGCTAATTATTTAAAAGAATTAATTATAAATGAATGTGAAGCAACATTTGAAAATCTTGAATTATTATTAAAATATACACCGAATTTAAGAATATTCTCAATATTTATTATAAGTGATATGAATATGTTTGATGGTATTCGTTGGCAAAAACTTCTTGAATCTTTATTAAAACATTTAATTATTTTCAAATTCTATTTTCAAGATGAGAAATTCGAAAAACCAATGGAAAAATTGAATAAATTTCAACGATTTCAAAATGATTTTTGGCATAAACAACATGAATGGTATACGAATTTAGAAATTTATACTCGTACTTCAACAATTTATACAATTCCATATGAAAGAAAGAATTATGAATTAACATTTAATACAAATAAACATGGTTATTTATGGATGAAAAATTCCAATGTATTTGATAATGTTAAAACATTAACTTTAACAACAAAATTAATTGTAAACAATGCGGAATATTATTTCAAAAATGTTGAATCATTAATATTAAGATGTTACTCATATGAAAAAATTTATGAGAATGATGATAAATCGGATTTAAACTCAACAAAAATCAAATTACTTCGTACAATTGTTAATCTATCAAATATCAAACATTTAACAATTGATAATGATATTTACTTGACTTCAGCATTATTCCTAGATTTATTAAAAGAATTATCAAATGTTTCATCACTAAAAATCGATGAGGATCAGTTAATGAAGATTTTCGATAATATTGAATTATGTGAATATTTAAATGAAAATATTAAAAAATTAGAAATTTTTTCTGCTCAATTCTTCGATAAAAGAATATTTTTAAATAAAATTAATATATTATTGTCTCAAGTATTTCCCAATATCGAACAGTTTACATGTGATTATATGAAACGGGTTGATGATTTATTAGTAATATTAAAACAATGTTCAAAATTATCAATAATAAAGTGTGAAGGGATTAGTAAATCTGTAAATTCGTGGATTGAAATTAATGCATCAAAATTAGATGTGTATCTGGATTTTGAATTCGTCAATGAAGATAACGACGATGATGAATATGACTATGATGATGAAGATGAATATGATTATGATGATGATGAAGAACAACTGAAACGAAGTTTATTGAATAGAGATTTAATCTAATTTTTTTATAAATAAATTGATGAAGAAATATTATCTTTTTTATAATACTAAAAAAAATATTCAATTGAATTATCACTCACAATAATATTGTAGATACTATTTGTTTGATTTTCTCATAATTTTCTATCAACAAAATTTAATATAGAAATTGATACATTGTATAATAAAACAGAAGCAAATAAAGAATAAACAATATTCTTACTGCAGATAAACAAGATCATAAATTCTATTCATCACTTATTTATATTGACATTGCAAATCAATATCTTTTAAAAACACTCATAAAATACATAATCATCTTTGATTCTATTCTTTTCATATGCTCATAAGTTAAGATTCTTTCTCCATACATCAAAAAAGGATGAAAACATTTCAAACAAATAATCATCTCTCTTTTTCAATAAATCATTTATGTATCTGTCTTTGTTGTTTACATTGTCTTTCTTAAATTTTAGTTACGCATATTATCATTATATTCATTTCTCAATATTCGTAATAATTCTTTACACAATTACAAAAATAAACTCATAACAGATTAATATTAATCGTCAGAAAATCATTTCTCGTTCTTATTTCATAACATAAACTCTCGTTTTATTTATACCAAGTATTCGATCGTTTTCAACTCATTAATAATATCATCTCATCAATTATAACTGAACCCAATGAACAATTGTTTCTTTAAGACTAAAATTTTGCTGTTTCTAAATATAAAGATAAAGAATTATTCTTCATTTTTCCATAACAATAAATTTAAAAAAATAAGAAATGATCTCCTTTTCTGAAAACTACTATTAATAACATTAATATTAATAACATTAATATTAATAACATTAATATTAATAACATTAACTAAATTAGTATCATATCTGATCATTTTATCTAAAATATTTTTTAATTTGGGTAAGAGAAATGCGTTTCAAAAAATAACAGTCACATGAAAAATAAGAACATAAAGTAATGAGAAGAGTATTAAAATAATAGCTGAATCACTTATTTATGTTCGAAGACTTGTGCGCAATAAATGAACTAATATAGAGAAACTATCAAGTAAACATGAATCTATTCCAGAGATGCTTTTTTTACTTTTGTTTATCAAAACAAGATCACATAACTGATAATATTTTAAATTTCGATCGAAGAAATGTCATGATTTTAGTTGTGATGAAATAACAAAAGGGAACAGTCGTTGATAAAAACAAAAATACATCATGAAATAAAATGTTGATGAAATGAAAATCATAGGTACTTATGAATCTTTCTTTGGCAAACGTTTACAAAATCAACGTTTAAAAACATGTAAACACATAAACTACTCAAAATAAAAGGAATGCATTTTCGATTCCAAGGACACAAATAAGTGTTGAGAGAAACAGTTTTATGCTCTTTCTACTAAAAGAGAAATGTAGGAAGTGGTAGAAAAACAGAGTAAAGAAAAATCATTCATTGTTGTGCATACTTTATTTTTTCATTCATCACACAAAAAGTAATGCGATCTATCGTTGTTTTGTTTTTCATTATATCCGTTTCATCTGTACAAGGTTTGCTAGATTATCTGTTTTCCTCTCACTCTATCACAACATAAATGAATTTTATAGGACAAACTACACAATTACCTAATTATTCTTGTAGTGAAAATAATGCCTCTATTCAGTTTATATTATCTTCATCAGCTCATTCAGCATGGAATTCAACATCAAACTGTTCTTTACAACAATGTAATACAAGCTTAAATGGTAACAATAATTGTCTTTCATCATCAACACCTTGTTATGATTATCGAACAATAAATAATATTAGTTATTGCGCACCTGGTGTTTTATGTTCAATATTAGAAAGATGTGATAATATTACACAAACATGTTCATCAAATAATTCAATATGTGTTATTAATTCATGTTGTTCATCACAAGCAGTATGTTTACCATTCTTAGCAACACAAATATGTAAAACAGGTACTGATATATAGATTATATACATTTTAGACTTCATCACACTCAATTAGAACAATTCATTGTATTCATAGTTATAAATAAGGTATCATTCGTTTGTACAACACTTCTGTCGAGTGATAATTTTCTTGTAGTGGAAAGAAATGTAATAGATAGAATATAGATGTGTGATATGCATTGTTAATTAACATGAGAAACGAAAAAGGGGTGAAGAGCTGAAGTATGTTGAAGTGCTCAGTTTACCTATTGAATGAGATATTAAAACAATTTCATATATGATTTAGTTGATAGAATACGAGATTATGGTTTCATAATAAATCAATATTGTTTGTTTTTGAACTGAATATTGTGGGATAAACTTTTGTAACATGCTTTTATATTTACATTTGTTGCATTAAATAATAAAATAATATCAATGAATAGATTGAAGTATACAAATCGTCTTGAAGGATTATCTCAAGTAAAATTTATATTTTGCTTGGTTTCATATTTTTATTTATTCGTCCCTTTTCTGTTGCTGTTGGTGTTCTAATAGTAATAATTTAAAGTTATGTTAAATATTATTTCGGCGATAATGCTAACCATCTATGTTACACTTATTGTAAAATAGATGAATCATCTGAAATGAAATGTTGGAACAAATTATATGTGAAGGTGAATTACTTCTGATAGAAAATCCAAGATTATCATTCTGTGATCAATAACTGTCTCATCTATCTTGTCTTGATTGATGAGATGATCGAGTGAACTATATAATTAGACATTGAACACTATCTTTAACTTTAGATTAATCTTTTAGTCCATGTTTGGAATATTTGTATAGGTTTGTTTTCTCTATAATAGTGTTCATTGTATAGCAAGATGTAAATGGTGAATTAACGAAAAATTGTTTTTGTGCTAACAAATTTAAGAAGAGCATTTTATTAGATATAAAATATGACTAAGAATAGAGTCAAAATAAACTGAATAGGTAAATTTTTGTGTAAATTAATGGAGAACTAACAATGATTTGATAGTGAATTATCAGAGACTTCGAGATTAATCACTCATTTTCTCATTAAATCATGTTTTATATTAGTTCCGGTGATGAATGCTATATAGTTCTTTTCATATCTATGCATAGATTATTGAAAAGGAAATGTTGTGAATAACTCATTATTTTGATTGTGATATCCAGAGAATTATGAAAGAGTTGATGGGAAGTTCATACTTTTCACTCTGTTGAATATCTTTCAAGCATAACTTGTAAAATTTCTAGAGAATTGAGAAATACATTAGTCAGTGTGATCATCACAGTGGTCAATTTGAGATAAACATGTTTTATATATTTGATTGAGATAAGAAAGGAAATAGAAAATATAGACAACTGAAGACTGTGATACCGGTATGTGAAGAAATTTTGTGCAATAGATTTGACTGCTATTCTCGGTCCACATAAGTTTGAGGTGATATAAAACAGACATATTGAAGACTGTCGTTTTTAGAATGATGAATATTGATTGCTTGATTATATAATGTTGTATCGTCTAACTATATAAAATTGTAACTTCTAGGGTGGTTTTCTACTGGTAATATGACTAATGCACGTTGGGGTCACACAGCATCTGTATTATTAAATGGAAAAGTTTTGGTCACTGGTGGGAATGATTATAGCGGTCTTCTAAATAGTGCTGAGCTGTATGATTCATCAACAGGTACTTGGATAACTACTGGTAACATGACTGATACACGATATTTTCACACAGCATCTATGCTATCAAATGGAAAAGTATTAGTTGCTGGTGGAGGTACCAATGGTGCTGAGCTGTATGATCCATTAACAGGTACTTGGACAACTACTGATAGCATGACTAATGCACGATATTATCACACAGCATCTGTATTATCAAATGGAAAAGTATTAGTTACTGGTGGAATTGGTAATACCGGTTATTTAAATAGTGCTGAGTTATATGATCCATCAGCAGGCACTTGGACAACTACCGGAAGCATGAATAATGCGCGAGGTTACCACACAGCATCTATATTATTAAATGGACTAGTATTAGTTACTGGTGGATGGAATGGTAATTATTCAAATAGTGCTGAGCTGTATGATCCATCAACAAGCACTTGGACAACTACTGGTAGCATGAATAATGCGCGGGGTTACCACACAGCATCTATATTATCAAGTGCACTAGTATTAGTTACTGGTGGAATTGGTGTTGGTGATTCAAATAGTGCTGAGCTATATGATTCGTCAACAAGTACTTGGACAACTACTGGTAATATGAATAATGCACGAGATTCTCACACAGCATCTGTATTATCAAATGGACTAGTATTAGTTACTGGTGGAGATGACAATAGTGTTGCCTTAAATAGTGTTGAGCTGTATGATCCATCCACAAGTACTTGGACAACTACTGGTAGCATGAATAGTGCACGAGAAAAACACACAGCATCTGTATTATCAAACGGAAAAGTGTTAGTTACTGGTGGATATGGTAATACTGGTTATTTAAATAGTGCAGAATTATATTAATTATCTCAAACAAATTAACTTTCAGTTATCTTATTCTTTTCTTGCAAGTAGTTCAAACTCCAAACAATACTTTAGTTAGAAGAATTCTTATTTTACGACGCCCTCGAACTGTTTTCTTCCATATTTTTACTGACTTAACATATACTTCAATATTCCACCTCAAATAAAAACAAATATCTTTGCTTTTCTGCTCTTATATATTAGTGTATTATGATTAACAGTACACCGACAGTTGAGCCCCAGATATAGAGAAGAAATTAGCGAGCACCAGAAAGTAATTTTACTTCACCAGAATAACATAAACATCAGAAATTAAACAGAGCGCGTGCTCTTTTAAAATACATTTCTCTTGTAATCAATATAAAAAGAAGATACTAGTGAGGGTGTGGGTGTTATAGCTGGCCATTAGTACCATCGAAAGATTTCGCATATCTGTGTGCGTCACTTTAAAATTCATCTAATAATCACATACGAGTTTTCTGTGTTCCCTATTATCTTCTCTATATCGGGAGCTCAACTGTCGGGGCTCAATTGTTAGGCGCTCAGATGTCGGGTCACCATGATTTACAAAAGTTACAATTAATACGATAACTTTAATTATCCTTTTAAATATGTTCTCTTAGTTTGACAGTGTGTAGTTACTCATAATATTTAATTGTTTTGATAGTATTCATCGGATTTAGAATATATGATCATTGAGATACTTCGGTTACCAAAAGATGTTCAAGTAAGGTCATGAATGACAGAGATGAATATGTCTGAAAGTAACAACCACAAAAGATAATCTAAAGGGTAATGTATAATGATATCAGACGTGAGACGAACGGAGAACGAGGGTGTGGGTGGGTGTGGGTGTGGGTGTGGATGAGGGTACGAGTCGGTGATGTGCGTCTCGGTGTGTGAAGATGTTTTTTGTTTACAATCAAACCCACACCCTCAAATGGGATAGAGAAACTCCCAGGGGGCTTGTCGGGGGTCATATAAATTAGTGATAGAAATATTAGGTAGAAATGAGTCAGCATAGGCGAGAGAACATGAGCCATCTTTGTTAATAGGCGCACCAGCGTCGAGTAAAGCTAGAATTGTCGGCATCGAGCGTGACTGACAAGCAAACATAAATGCTCCACGCATAGTAGAACGCGAATCACCACCAGAAAATTTTTGAGCAACTTCAATACCAGCATTCAACATACATTGTACAATATCTCTATGGCCCAGAAGACATGCACGTTGATAAGCTGTTTGTGCTTCTTCGTGTGGCGATGACCATTCAGAAGGAAAACGACGACGTATTTGACATAAGTGTCGAAGTTCATCTTTCTTGAAATTCTTTACAATAGACACATTATTAGTTTCGACAGCACCGAAAAGTACTTCTTCGTTAGATACATGATTTAATTCAGAAGAACTAGTTTTATTGTCGATCGTAGTACTTTCTGCACCGCCCATTATGTATGAATGAATAAAGAGACTCGATATTGTCAAGAATAGTTGTGTTCGGTAACTCGCATCAATCTTGCTTCGTTTTTTTTAATCTTCTTGTTTTTTTCCAACATATCGCACAACTTTATTGCAACACATACAGAACGAGTAGAATATTAGTTTTTTTTGAATATACATTAATTGTTTCATTTTATGTTTCTTTTTATTTCTGATCCTGGAAAGATACAAAAAATAGCAACTAATATTAATAACGAAAGATACGTGTTTTTAGTAAAATTTTGTCACGAACTGAAGTATCAAATTTCATAATGTCTTTTATTGTTTCTTTAGCCATTATATTCATACGAAAAACATGTCTGTTATCTTAAACTTTTAGTTAATATTTAATAGAGGGTGTGGGTATGGTCTAGATTTGTCTATCTTTAACTCAGCTCCACACCCACATACAATCACTCTCAATGATACTTCAAATATTGATTGTGAAGGTTACTTTCTTTCTTGCAATTTTCTTTATTGTAACCTCAGAAGACTACTCAGAATTCGACAACAACGAACAGAACAGTAAGAAAAAATGGTATTTTTTCGTTTTCACCGAAAACAGACAGGATAAGCAACAGTGACAGTGTGGATGAGTGGATGTGGGTTTGGATTTATCTTTTAAATACCCACACTTACCCTCAAATTCCTTTTTATCGTGAGTCTGACATTTGTCTAATCATTTTCAGTTTATAAATAATATTTTTAGGGATGAAAACAACATTGACATAATATTTTATTAAATAACAAAGCTGAGAACTTTTTTCAGAAAAAATACTTTCAAAACTTGTGAGATCTCGTCTTCATTTTTCAACAGGTTAATGGTTTGATCGACATTTCTCGATAATTTATCAAAGTGAAGCGAACACTATATCAATAAATTAGAAAAGTTCTGAAACAATGAAGAAATATTGATTATGGATGAACTAATCGTCGCGGTCGTCTGAATGTTTCTTGAAATTTTTTTCTGTACAATGCTGAAGGAAGGACAAAGATAATAAAGATAAGCATCGATGGAGTAAATGAAATAAAGTAACCAAAAAGAAATAATAGCCGATGGTTAGATGGATTGATACATTCAGATAACATTGACATACTAAGACGAGGTAAGGACAAAATTAGAAGAATAATTGGACTAATTAATAATTGTTTGTGTTCACTAAATTGATTATAAATATGTTCTCTTGGAGTTCGACTTGTCTGAGCTGTTGATCGTTGTTGAGCTGATCCAAATATGATGAATAAAGCAGAACCAAGATTGATAATACATGGACCAATAAGATGAAAAAATAAGATAATTGTATTGTATTGTTGAAGAGAAGGAGAATAATGAGTTAAACACCATCTGTTGATATCCACTTTGTTTGTCTCTTTATTTACTTCACGTAATTCTCGATGAATAGGTTCGTGAATGATTGAACCGATGATACAGAATGGTAAGATAAGAATTATCCATCGAGCTATGCGTCGACTTTTTTGTTTATTGAAGTTAACTCCTTTGAAAACGAGAATCGCTCTTTCAATGGCTACACAAGCATTGAGCCAAGCATCCACATATAGACAAAGCTTGAGAAGTGGTTCGATCGATACACAGCCTCCTCGAACAACAGAAAGACGAATCGATAGATTCATCTGAGTGAGAACGACAAACCAGAACTTTACTACAAACATGCTGATTGTAAGAATAGAAGTAATTGATGATGCGAAGAGATAAATCCCACATCCAACTTTTCGTAAATCTTTACTTTGAAATGTTAATAGAGACAAAATACTATTGATTAAACCTCCAATAAACATAATCATCGTTAAAGCGGCATTGATTTTCATCAATATTGTTTGATCGGTGAATGTCATGTTCGGTCGAATTTCATCACGTAAAATATCATCGAGAGTGATACCAATGTTTTTTTTATAGAACTGACATTTTTGACCAATGAAACAACTGGTTAGACTTTGCTCTAAAGAGAGAAATACATGGCATGTCGTGTTGAGATTACATTTCTACATTCCTGTTCTTATCTGATTGGAAGAAAAACTATACGATCTATCTGAAATTCTCAAATCTTTTATTATTCAAGAGAGAAAATGGAGTGCAATGGGCTGTTGTAATTCACTGTTGATGATGTACAAATAATAGAAAATACTTACTGTAAGGAGCAAGTATGATATTATTTGGACCAGATGTTAGAATGGAAAAGTTTCCTGTCGTATTTGGAGAAGATGTTGTCACCACTAAAATATATTTTGTGCCAGTGTGAAGATAAACGATGAACATGAAATCTTGATCACTACAACTTCGATAATTCTGTGAGAGTAGATTCTCGAAAGGATTCATTGGATTGAAATCATCTTTGTAAATATAACCAAATGTACCCATACTGCTAGAACCGCTCAGAGCATAGTATCCAGTTTCCACTACGTTCATTCGTATAGTTTGATAGTAATAGTCTGATTTTCGACAATCTCGAGAATATGTTTGACTATTCGTAGTCAACTTTGATAAATGTTTCGATTCTACAGCTAATGAATATGGTATTCGTGTAACTGATGGAGAACCTATACGGTGAAAACAAAAACAACACTCAAGATTTATGATAGCGCTTAATTGACTGAAACAAAGAAAGTTGAGCATCATAAGTCATGTCTCATGCACGCTTAATATCGAAGGGCATGTCGCAGCTGAGCGAGTCTATCAATATTTTTCTGTACTCGAAGCCCCGATAATATTAGTCACATCAAATTAGCGATCGATTGTCCTGATCCTGTTGGCAATATTCTGTTATTTGATATATTTAATGTGACTGTTTGTATACAGCTCTCCTCTTACAATGTAGTGCAAGTACTTACTAATATCCTTGAGATCAACATTATCTGGACCGGATGCAGAGATCGAGAATGCACCTGTCACGTGGTCGTAAACGGTGGTCACAATCAATATGTATGTGACACTAGTTTCAAGAGCAATTGTGAATCTAAACTGACGTTGATTGCAGCTGAAAGCATTGGCTAAGAGTCGATTTTCAAATGGATTGGATGGATTGAAATAATCTTTGTAAATAGAACCGTATGTGTCCATATTGCTTTTGCTGAAGAAAGTGTAAAGACCAGTTCTACGAACATTCACTAGTATCGCTTTATAGTAAGAACTTGACAGTGAACAACTACGTAAGTACCTTGAACTGTTCGCTGTCAATTTTGATGTATAAACTGTTTGAACAACTGATGACGTATTCACTAATGAAAAAGAAAATCGATTCAATTTTGCATAATATAGAAATAAGTGTAAACAGTTTGCAATATTACTTTCTCTCTCAGATATATTTACCGAAAGTGACTGAAAGTGATTATTTATTATTTTGTAGATTGAGTTTATCTATATTTTCTACTGATGATGGATATGTGCAATTGATTATCCATTAAAATGCTATAGATACTCACAAATACGACTGAAATTGATGTAACTTGGGCCCAATACTTGAATTGAAAAGATCCCTGTTGAATTTCGAGAAGATGTTGTTATAACAACAACATATATCATCTTGGTTTGAAGAGCAGCTGTGATTTTAAATTGACCTTGATTATCAGAGTCTTCACCATGGCTCAGTACATTTTTGGACACATCGAATGGATTGAAGTTATTCGTGTAGATAAAAGCGTCCATGGTTTTCATGTCGCTGTTGATTAGAAAACTATAATATCCAGTTATAGTGACGTTCATTTGTATTGCTTCATAATACGAATATAACTCTGAACAATCTTCATAATAAATTGAACTGTTTGGTGTCAATGATGACGAATACATTGATTTTATTAGTGATGAGTTATCTATTGAATGAAAGAAATCAATGAGTATTTGCATTTAGAATAAAGAAAAATATCCTTAGTTTGCTTTTCACTCTGTTTACTAATAAGAAGTCAATCGTTTGTTTTAGAGTAAAGTTTTCAATAGAGAAATGAAATAAAATATCTATTTAGTGTCCTTACAATAAGTATCGATCTTGAGGATGTGGGTGAAAGTGTGAGTAAGAGTGAAAAGAATATTACCCGCACTCACCACACCAATACTCTCACCTAGTATGGGCTTTGAACATAATTTTAGATACGAAATTGTTTTTTGAACTAAACAATTCAAAGATTTTTCCAATGTGACACCATATAACTCATTTCATCACTGGTAGTTATGACAATATTTTATAATTTCAACACAGTTTAACAATAGAACGACTCACTGTAGAGAGATGTATTCTCTAAATGAGTTAGATTGGAGTCTAGAAGAAATGAGAATCATCACTTTTGGATATATAACAGAAGTTTCTGTCAACTTGTATATCTGTTATTTCACTCTCTTTCATTCAACTAAAACTCTAATCAATACTGTCATTTTTGTGCAATAGTTGATCTTGAGTATGTGATAAATAAAAGTATTTACCTGTTGTTTCATTGCTGGGAACGAACAGAAGAATTATGACAAATGCGTAGTTATTCCACATCATTCCACAAGATTCTTTTTTCGATAAATTAGTTAACTAATAAAATAATCTTCTTCTTTGTCCTCGATGAAAACAAAATGACGCTCATTGTAGATTTTCTCTCTAATTATATGTTTCTCTCTCATTCATTTCTTCCAACCTAATATACAAAGAGAAAAAATAGTTTTCTAGAGAAGATTTCATCGTAGGTAAATTAAAAAAATTGAATCTAGATTGGACTAATGAACAAAGTTGATCATTCAATTTCATTCGTTTCCAAATTCGAAAACATAGAATGAAATTTAAATTTAACGTGATCTTTTTTTTCGCTTTTATAGAAAATCTTTGATTTTAGTGAAGAAGAACGTAATGAAGAGAAAGGAGAGAATTGATGAAAATCTGCATTAATCATCGGACGTGCTTTAACTGAAAATAAGACATCAACTATCATCGTCAATAAATGATTGACGTCAATGAATAAGTCATGATTAGTTGGATATTATTTTTTTGTTTGACTCTGTTAAATAATCTGCTTTGTCAGAATTCACTTTTAATCACGTTCTTTATTTCTCTATGCGCAATAAGTATTTTTGTATCAGATAGATAAAAAAAACAGAATTATTCATCACGATACGATGTATTCTTCCAGGAGACATAAAAAAAAGACGCATAAATTCAACTAGAAATTCAATATATGCAAAAGCAAAACTTTGTGAATAGATGGGTGGATCTTATGCATTAGTAGAAAAAATTCTATTCAAACATAATCAAAGCCGTGAAGCTCACATCAATTATCTAATATTCCTTGCAATCTGACATTGGTGAGTTGTCAGTGACGATGAACATCTTTGATTCAGATTGATTTTAAGAGTGTGGATGTGTATGAAAGATGACTATACTTTCTACATCTTTGCTTATGCGCGCATACTCACACCCTTCATTGAGAATGGGTGGATGTAGGTGTCTTCTCTCCTCATCCATACCCTCACCCTCAAGATGGGTGGGTGTGGGTGTGAGTATTATATTCATCTCACACCCAGCCCACCGTCAAGATGATAGCTAATCTTTGCTGTTTTTATTTCTAAAAGGCACTTTAAAAGACTTAACTGTATAACACAGAGGTGCAGACTACGTCGTTAAAACATAAAAAAATTCCCATACGTGGAAAATCAATCCTCAGCAAAGGGTAAGAAAAAATCTTTAAGTTTTAAAAGTTTTCCTAGTATGGCTGCGTCCGCACACGATTATATTCTGTGCCTCTAGTATAACAGTATGATGAGTTAAAAAATAATCGATTAAATAATGAAGATGTTCAGTCATGGCTTGACAACATGCTGTTTTATCGTCGACGTCTGAGAAGCCAGTAAATAATAAAACAAACCACAAGTTCTATTATACTTAAAACAGTTGACCACCATTCATAGTAATTGACACATTGTGCAATATAATCGTCATCCCAAAACCAGCTTCTTATTTTCTCAATTATACGTGCGATACCAAGCAATTTCAGAAATCGATTAGATATTCCACCTCGAGCTCCAATTGATTGTAGAAAAGAGAAGACGATCGATGCACCCCATACAGATTGAATCCAGGAAGCGATAGAGTGACGAATTATACCTAGAGGACCAAATCCGAACAATATCAAAAGTTGAGGTAAACCATATGTAATCAAACAATGAGCGACAGCATACGGCCAACCAGCTGCAAACCATCCGGAATAAAAGTGTTGCTTTCGTGATCGATGACACTGGGCAATTTTATGTTGCAAAAATATATGCAAAGCGAATGAGATGCCAAAAATACCGATAAGCAGTAAGGAACTCCGGGGTGGCATATATTGTATAAGGTATACGGGTACAACTATTCTGCCGATCAGTATGGTGAGAATGATCTAGAATATTATTTTTAAAATATTATTGAGAACTTAAAGAATACATAGCATCGATTTGCCGATACAATATGTATTACTAAGCGACGATGTTACAAAAGGCTAACAAAAAAGAACAATATAATAAAAAGATAATGATCGATTTTAACGGCTGTGTGGATAGAAAACGGAGCGACAAACAATAAAGTAAGAGAAGCGTAAATTTATGACAACTCATCAAACTCTATGAAGTAATTGATCCATTCGCTTCATAGTACAACGGGAAAAGTAGAAATGACATTTCTTAAGGAAAAGAATATAAAAATCCTCGGAGGCATGCGATCACAAGGTTTGTTCTACGGGTAGCAGTCTGATGTTTACTATTCTATTTTATTTCCAGCAAGTTTGTTAGTTTTTCATCGCTTGACGCGCATTATTTTATTATTTGTTCTCGTCTCGGAAATAAGACATGGAAATAGGTAATAACAGCGTTCATATTGAAAAACAATTGTTGTTAGTAGACAAAAAACGTGTTGCAATATTGAGTGTAAAATGTTAGCTGCAAACTTATCTACTATTAAAGTATAATTTTATAAAAAATATCTAAGCTTTTTGCTGATGAAAGCAACTTACAAATATCCAAGAAGAATTACAAAAGTTTTTAGGTTCCAGTTTTTGAGGATGTGGGTGAGAATCAGAGATTTCAATATTATACACACCCACACCCTCCCAGCTATTGTAACACGATGAATCAAACAAATTGTGTTTTCAATTGAACTCTTTTCTATTCAGCTTTTAATGATAATGTCAAAATGTGTATGACGCGAAGAGTCTTATCAATTTAAAAAAATGAGTCGTATTTCCTATGACACCTCGTTGGTATGTTCGTTCTATATCCCTAAGAATTTGACAAAAATACTGCAAGGATTTCTCGTGTTTTTGGTTGGAGGAAGTGAGCAAATCTTGCAGGCATTGTCTGCGAGCACAACTCATTCTCATTCCTACACTCTACCTCCTGAAAAACTGTTTCTTATTTGTTTTGTTACACTATTTTTCTCGGAAAAACTTGTTTATCATCATAATTACATTCTCCTTCCAGAAAAAAAACTTATTTATTTCCATCCTCACAGACTCTTTCCCAGAAAAGAAATTTGCCTATCATCGTTCTTAGACTCTCAATATTGGAAGAAATACTTTCTGCGCGCGTTGTTACATTTTCTTTTTCAGAAAAAAACTTATATACTATCGCCCTCAGACTCTTTTCCGGGAAAGAAACTTGTTTATCATCGTTCTTACATTCTCAATATCGGAAGGAATATTTTTTGCTCTCATTGTTATATTTTTTTTCCATAAAAAATTATTGTCACTCTCGCACGAAGAGAAGAAAATTATTTCACAACTCAGTAGTAAGTATGGTGTTATTTTTTTACGTTTCGGTGGGTAGATGTAAAGACCGAAGATGAATTCGAGTACTTCTCGATTCAATAGAGTTTACAGATAGTCGTGATAGTTATAGTGAGACAAACAGTCTCATCTTCATATACCTTGGCGTCAATATAAAGGAAATAATCTACTTCACCACAATAAGTAATGTGATCAATAGAAAAAGTTGAAAATTTAGATAATCGATTACTTCGGCGGTTAATGTTTCCTTTGAGTCGAACGATAACAAAAAGGTTGAACAGATGAATATTTGACTGCTTCATCAAATATGTGAAAAGTGAAATACTCGAACAGTTGAATCTATGAATAATTGAGTGGCATGTAGACGCTCTTATCCACTATACTGTACGCAAGGTATTCTTCCACCTTTTTCTCACTCATTAAATTTTGATTATGTCTGCCATGAACTAAAGACTTATTCTTTACAACCTCTCCGACATGATATTTATTTAGCAAAATCAATAGCTAGCTTAATAGAAAACGTAATGGGGACTTTATCGCACTAACTCTATCAGCTATGATCAATTTCTCTGCAACGGATAAAACGCAGATGAAAGCATGCAAAAACTTGCATAGCATTCGACACAATTCTCTTATATCATTCGATTTGATTAAAACTAAAACACTAGATTGTACTAAACTCACGTGTGAAGAATAATTGTTGTATGCTAACGGAGACACACACAGCAAGAATCTAGGTGGGTGTGGGTGTTAAGGGCTCTTCTTCTCTCACACCCACACCCACACCCTTTATCAATAGATTGCAAACTTACATGGTAATTATAAAAGAATGGCAGGACTAACCGATTGATTCATTATAAATATTACTTGAAAACTACTCGGGAAGTATGTTCAGTTATTTTTGTGCATATTAATTAAATAGGGAAAAATTCGATTTGAGATTTAGCAGTTATTACACAGAAAGTGATGGTCGTTTAAGTTTTGTTTCACTTTTTTCAGAAAAATCTATCAAATATGGCTGAACCAATAAATGATGAAGAAAAAGAAGAAGGCTGTATTGAACTTATTCGATGTGTTTCAACAACCGAAGAAGAACGAAAAGATCCTCAGTACGTGCCAAAGTTGGAGATCAATGAACGTGCACAAGAAATTATATCAGAAAGATTTCAATCACCCATATCAATAGTTGCCTTAGTTGGAAAAGTAGGAGTCGGGAAAAGTAAACTAGCAAGTTTAATGGTGGAAACATTGCACAGGATACCTTTTGACCCACCATTACGGCCATTCCTCAGTGGAAGAAGTAGTACACGTGTTACACAAGGTATTTGGATGTGGTCTGAACCATTATCTCATTTAGATGAAAATCAACAAGGTTCAATATTAGTATTGGATTGTGAAGGAATGGGAGAAGCAGATGAACAAACTGGGAAAAATTTATATTTATTCTGCATGTTAATGAGTACAGCATTTGCTGTTGTTCTTCGTACAGGTCGTGTTGATCGATTTTTATATGAAGATTTGTATTATGCTTTACATCGCTTCAAAGCTATGCGTTCATCGTATGTATTACCTAATTTATGGTTAATAGCAATGGACACGCCAACATTTTGTCATACTGATCCAAAACAAGGTGATGTAGAAATTTCAAAAGAACAATGGCTAAAGAATATTTTCACCAATACGTCAAGTACATTATCACAACATGAAAATCAATCAATTCAATCACGTTATGATTTTATCACTGAATTTTTACCAAAATTGATGCAGTTAATATTGATGATTTACCAAAAGCATTAAAAGATAATAATCAACAATTAGATATTCATACAATATTAAGAAATGAATCATCAAGAGAATTTTATATATCGTTGAAATTAGCCATTCAACAATTATTATCAAATGGTGGAAAAAAAATATCAGCCGGTCAAAATTCTCTTTTTATTCCACCAGCTGAATTAACAGCTTTAATGAGTGATTTAATTGATGTTCTTAATGAAAATAAAATGCCCAATGCTGATACATTAATCAATCGATATTTATTAACGCATTTTGAAAATGAAATTGTTAATGAACAAATAGCTCTGTTTGAGCAAGAATTACTTGAATATGCTCAAAATATTCTTGGTGATGCTATTAATCAACGAAAAATGCCAGAAACACCTGGAACAATTATCATATCAGATGATCAAATGAAAAATGAACGTGATCGTATAACAAGAAAATATTTTAGTTCAATGATACGTTTAGCACGTCATCAAATCTATGATCTTGATAACGAACTGGCAGACGATTATCTTGATAATAGTCAGTTAGAAAATGCTTTATTTGAATTACCTAAAGTAGTTCAAGAACAATTCAAAATTATCAAAATACAAATGGATGGATATCATGAACCAGAATTCATTATCAGACAGATACGTGAAAATTCAGTTATTAAAAGTTTAATACAACAACAAGCTGAGCAAAAAAGATTGCTCGGAGAAATAGAAAGAAAAATAGAAAATAAACGAGATCTTGTTCTTCGCGAAAAACGTATTTATAATTCATTAAAATATCCAAAACCAGTTAGATATCGTCTTGCACCATGCCGAAAATGTGAACGTCAAGGTGGTACTTCTAATGGTGTACATTGGAAAAAAAGTTATCTTTCGAAACGAACAGGAAATTATTATCATTATAATCGGCAAGATGAAAAAATGGTTTGTGATGCATGTAGACAAATACAGACAACAGGAGATCAAACTGTTCAATGTAATCAATGCGGAACACTACGAAAGGTTATACGAATTTATAAATATGCTGAATAATTATTATCTCCTATATTGTCACAATTATTCAATTTATCAAACAAAACTTCTATTTTTTCTCTCTCTATATCTCCTGTTTCATTTTTTAAACAATTCGATTTCTTTATTCATTTCTATTACTGATTTCCCTTTCGAGATCAAATATATGGTTTACCTAAATATATTAGATTGTCTCTTTGTAGCCTCTATATCCTCCTAGTTACAGTTACTAATTTTTATGTAGTATACCTATTTAATTCTAATCGAATAAATTCCTTTATGACATCTTTCTCAATCATCTGAATATGAACGCATTATTTTCAGGGAGTCTTGTATGAAGTCTAGTTTAATAAACAATATTTGAAAACAATTATCATTTAGAAGAAAAAATAACTACTACTAATTATTTCCATACCTTGAGGATGCGGATTTGGGTGTGGATTCTACTCTTCTGTTCATCCACACCCATCCTGGCCACCTACATTGGCTTAATTCAATAAATTCTCTTCGCTCGTGGATACATTACGGGCTATCTGAATATATGTGATTTGTTTAATGTGACAACGCTCTCCTTTGTACGTTACGGTACGAGCGATCCGTCCACACACCTACTCTTCTTCAGGACGGCCAAGTTTTATTAATTGGACGAGATCCTAATTTGAATACAGTAAAACTTTTCAATCCCTTAACGCTTACTTTAACAACAATACTCAACCTAGCTGTTGGTCAAGATTATCACACAGTTACGATGCTTAACAGTACGGGTGAAGTTATTGTTTGTACAAATACAGAGCTAACCGGTAACCTAAGCAGCTGTGAACTTTATCAGCCATGAGGGTGTAAATGTGAGTTAAGAGTAGTAAAAGATGCATTTTAATAAAAAGCATTAAGGAATTAATAGAAATTCTTGCTCGAAAATCATCAAATATCTTATCTCATGTATAAGTGAAGTAAAATAAAAAAAATGTATAAAAAAAGAAAAATAAGATTCATTTTGTCCATGCTTCAATTTTTTGCACTACAGCCATAATGGGCGGAAATTGTCTTTAAAAAGTGAAAGCGTAAAGTCACGATTGAAAACAAGAATTTGAATGACGACGAAGGGCATCGGTATATAGAAACAATACCAACGAATCAATATTAAGATTAATTTCATTATAAATAGGCTAAGACAGCAGAGAACCATACTCAGTATTTGTCTATTAAATAAATATTCTATTTCAAACGCTTCTGATGGGATTTTGAGTGAACAACCAAGAAGAAAAATAAAGATTGTACAACAAAAGATAATAGTTTGATCGTTTAATGTTTCAAGAATGATTAAACCACTACAGGTTATAAAAAGAATTGACATTATCATAGCAATCAATCCACGATAATAACTTGTGTTTATCCACAAACAGAAAATCCCATATAGATTTACAACGAATTCGAAAGATCTAGTTAAGCCGATAAATGCCATGATTGATATAAAAAATGGAATTTTAGACCAGTTTCTCAAAATGAATTCTAACATGATTAATATGTGAAAAAAAGAATTATTATTTTTTTCTCGTAGTCCTTGAACAATATCATTTCCTTTTAAAGTCGTTTGTGTTCGTGGTATTTCAATATGCTGATGATATAATACACAGTAATATGCTAGTGTACCCATTAACCATGATTCAATGTTAAGCAATGTTGATTGAACAGAAGACATAATTCGATTTCGACGAAGGTTGTTGACGTATTTCTCCTAATGATTGACAGACGAATAAAGTAAATGGCTTGTTCGTTTTCTCTTCTTATTTTAATAAGGGTGCGAATAACTATTTGCTTAAAAAGGACGCATATTTTGATTGTATCAAATTTGTTTCTTCCTTAGCTGATATATATAAAAATGTTTCTAATTATTCTGTAAGTTGGCAGTTTCTTCGGAAGAAGAGAATTGGATTTCTTCATATTATTCAACAAAATAGATATTATATTAACTACGATATAATGACGAGGATGTGGGTGTGAAAGGGTATGAGTGTGCGCGTTGATGAAAGAAAATTTCTATATCCTCACGCCATATTGAGAGTGTGGATGTGAGTATTTTATTTCAACCATACTAACACCCACACCCTCAGTGTCAGTGCTACGATGTATCACTGTTAGTGCTGACAGCGCATGATTTACTGAAACTGCGCATCCCTGATCAGATATGAATATTGCTTCTTTAGATGGCGTAATGATGAACGTGTGACGGTGAATAATAAAAAAATGGTGAATCATCTTGAGAGTGTGGATGATGGTGAGGTGATTACCCACACCCTATCTAACTTATTATTTCTATAACTTTTCATTTAATCGTATATTAAACTTTTTGTTTATGTGCATAGATCCAATCACATGTCTAATTTTGCTTTTTATGTTCGTTATACTTCTCTGTTTAACTGGAAATAAACAAACGTTATACAGTGTTAGAATAACTTGAACGTGAAGAAATAAGCACTTATAATGTCCCGAACCGTTATGCCAGACCACCATATTCTCAAGGATAAAAATTTACTAATGTAAAGAAAAATGTATACATAAATTGTAAGAACAAAAAAAAACATAAGTGTATTTCACATTTACGAACATAGATAATAGTTTATTTGCACAAAAGTACATTTATGATTTCGTTTCTAAATGTTTTCGATACCATTAAATTAATATAGCAACTAATAGATATTGGAATATAATTAACAAAAATGCTTACACTCATCAAAAACGAATTCATTTGACTTTGTGCTAGACTCTTACTTTGATATTGAATGATTTGCTCATAGAGAGAAACAACTGCAGGCATCAGATTGAAAATAATGTAAACAGTAATATTGACAAGTAATATTTTGATCAGTTGACGATCTTTCGGACGACCAGGATTTAGAACAGTACCCACTGTATTTGACACAGGATTAACTCTTGCTCGATGTGAAGATTGAATGTTCTTGATTGTATATATTTCACAGATAATCATAAGTGTAGGTATGAGGATGACTTTCATTAATTCATAATAGTTTATAAATGCTAAATAACCGTTAGAAGGCGAATAACAGGTATAATAATTCGGTATAATTTCTATGATCTTGGCGAAAACTAATGCAGGACTGTGAAATAACATACTACATATTGTACCAACGATAATACACGTATATGCAACACGACGATTACTATACAGACGAATGCGTGCATTTCGTGGGGTACATAACATTCGGTCAGTTGAGGCCAAAATCAAATAAAATGAACTAAGAATATCAACAACGTATCCGCTAAAATAAGTAAAACGATAAAAACTGTTACTCCATGACGCAGTACTAATGCTATAACCGTATGTTAGCATTAGTTCTGACAGAACTACACATATTTGAAAAAGATTAACAATGTTGTATGCAATAAAATAGACGGAGCATGGATTTTTTCGAAAATACTTCTTCGAAAAAATAATCAAACTAAATATGCAACCGATAATACCAATACAGATCAAAAATGCAGCACCAAATTGATATAAATATGTTTGTGCTGATACTAATGTTTTGATATATTCCATTTCGGACGACATGATAGGAGTCTCAACTAGAGATGCTCGTTTACCTTTACTTTATAAAGAATAAAGAATGACTTTGTAGATGACAGCAAAATAAATAAATTAATGTTACAAATGTTTTTTTTATCAATTAGAAAATAATAATATGCTAATGCACTTCTTTTTTAGCTGATTAGTTGTCTTAATGTCATGTTAGTTATTTTATTAAATCCTTTCAATAATATTTGAAAACTTTACTATTCTTTTTCTAAAATCGTATGACATTTTTTTTATAAAAGTGAATAGAACTTTAATTTGAGTGAAGCTCTTCTCCAAATAAAAGATGGGCTCCACGTTTTTATCATTTGGACCAATTTTTAAATATATATTTTTATATTAAAAAAAGTAATTATACAAATATTATGAAACTTCATGAATGAAATTTTTCGACACTTTACTGATTTTGTATAAACCTTTTTTGGATAAAAAAATATTTCTAAGCTACAGTACATTTTTTAATTCACATTACTTGTTGCTTTGTCAATAATTTAGTTTTTTTGTTTATAGAAGTCATGCTTTATTCTTTATCTTGGCTTTATTTCTATAAATAAAGATAATCTTCATCTTTATTTTTTATCTTTTTTATTTATAAAATAAAGTAAGTACACCTCGAATCTGAATAGATTTATATTTGCCAATAAGAACTTTTCATTTTTAGATATTGAGAAATATAAAAAAGAAATTTATTTATTTTTCTTCATTCAATATCTGAGGAAGACAGATTGATATTTCAGACAAGTTAAAACGCCAGATTATATGAAAATGAGTACGTGCACTACCACTGAGTTTCGTTTAAACGTACAACTGAATCAATCGAAATTTGAAATTGATGTGCTTCGAAATGAATATACCGATGTTGAATAAGCATCTATGAAGGAGAGTGCATCCTATTCGACAATCACATAATACCTGCTCTTCGATTGATTATTCACTTGTGTATCAGTTCGATGAAGATACAAGAATTGCTTTCTAATAGTTTATTCTTATTCAATTCTTTTAACGAATATGCAATTCGATAGAAAGTAGAATGTTTTCGAATGAAAAAGTATCTTGTCTATCAATATCTTTCTAAAATGATGCATAATGTTAAAGTTGTCATAATTGAAAAATCGAGTTTGACAATAGATATTGATCAATCCGTATATTTTTGTTTTCTTAACAACTAACGATTCTATTCTTTTATTTATATCAAAAATATAAATAGATTGTTGAGTAATAATATAAAAATTTCGATCTCATAATATGAAATAATAGACAATCGACGACGAGGGTGTGGGGTGGATGGATGTAGATGCGTCTGTTTTTTATTTACGTCACAGTCACATCCTTAGAAATAAGGAGCTCGTAGTATATTTGATTGTAGATTGTTATCCTTGTTTTATACATGACTTTGTAATTGTTTTTATGCTTTGAACACTAATACAGAAAG